AGGACCAATACCGCACACCCTCGGTCCCTACGCAGACTGATCCAAGTGGACACCCACCCGCACACTGACCGCAGCCAGTGATGCTTGACTTCGGTGATCTGCTGGGAACCGTGTCTTAACGATCAGTCCACTGCGGAACAGTTCGTGCCTTGAAGTTACAAATAAAAAACCCTAGAGCCTACAATGGAATAGTGCGCAACAGCTTAATTTAAGGATGACGATCTTCATGATTCTGCAATATGTTTTTTAATTCGTAGAAATACTATTTTATTTACATAACACTAGTGATACTTAATGGGCTACTGGCAACAGTTCAGGTAACATTCCTCAGGTTGTTGTTGTTCATTTACGTCGCACTAGAGCTGCACAATGGGCTATTGGTGACGGTCTGGGAAACATCCCTGAGGATAATCCGAAGACATGCCATCACAATTTTGATCCTCTGCAGTGGGGATGGCACCCCCGCTTCGGTAGCCCGATGACCTGCATGCGAAGTCGAGCACTTTACGGTAGAACAGTTTAACGAGGACCAATACCGCACACCCTCGGTCCCTACGCAGGCTGATGGAAGTGGTCACCCACCCGCACACTGACCGTAGTCAGTGATGCTTGACTTCGGTGATCTACTGGGAACCGTGTCTTTACGATCAGTCCACTGCGGGACAACATTCCTCAGGATAATACGATTTTCATCGCAAATAAACATCACAATTTTGATCCTTTGCAGAAAAGGAGATGACTTCCCCGCTTTGGTACTCCTACGACTGGCAAGCGAAATCGGTAAAACAGTTTAATGAGGGATGATACCGCACATCCTCGGTTCCTTAGCAGACCAATCAAAGTGGTCACCCACCCGATCTCTTACCTATGCAAGTGATGCTTAACTTCAGCAGTGCGTTAAAACAAGAAACCTTATCAATAATTGCCAGCACATTTACTTGTCAAGCTTTCAATGCTTGATAGTTAATTTATCTTACTTCAGATAGTTGCTAAACTCGCTTGTAAAGACTAAAGATCTTCAGTGACTTCGGGAAATGAACCCGAGACCTTTTCTATCGAGATCTTAGCATTTTCAACCTCCCAAGTCATATTTTGTAATCAATCTAGTAGCGTCATCTAAGTTTTCATTCTTGATAAAAAATAAGCTGACGATTAGCCAGTTACGCACTATATGCTTTCACATTACCTTGCAGGTCAAATGACCAGTATTGTTCTGGTGTTACAAATATTGTGATTATTTCATACTTTTAACGTTCATTTATTGGTTTTTATTTTTATACGAAGACGACCATGAATAAAAATAGTCTCAAAAGTTCTAGCAATGTGATTTTTTCGATGTTGTACAAAGCACTGATTGTCTCTATGTTGGTAAGTAATTTTTTATGGTGTTGAGAAGTTTCACAAATAGATTCGCCGTAAATCGCTTATTAAGTTTTTTTTTAAAGTTAGGAAATTTTTTAACCTTCATGTCTGATAACTCAGTTTTTAACTCTCTATAGTAAACGCTAAAAAAGAAATTAAATATACATTTTAAAGGAATTTAGTTTTGGGAACGAATCATTAAAATTATTCAGTGTAAGATTTACGAAGAATTCGCAGAATAAATGTAAACCTTTAAAAAAACTCAATTTTTTTAAAAAAATTTTAAGTTTGCTTAAAATCGGTTTATAGATTTAAATTTTTAGAAAACTTTTTCCTAATAATCTTAAAATCAATCTAATGTCCATGTTATGATTGGTAAAATGAATGTTAGGAAGAAATTGCGTTTAATTGACTCAAGTGTGAATGAATTTGTTCAATTTTATCACCCCCAAAACATAATTTAAACAAATTTGTAACATTTAAAAATTAGTGGAATGTTTTTTTTTCAATACCTCTGGAAAATCTTTTATAATAATAATAATAATCAATACCTTTGGGCAACTATGTAAATATTAATAATTTTAGAAGCATTTGTACAATATATAAAGTAATTTATTTCCGTATTGGTCTTTACTTCTTTTCAGGGAAGCATTTTGTTATATATACTATAAAGATTAATTGAAATACCAAATTTTATCATTTTGTCTTAAAATGATATTCAAGTTTTTATTGTTGACTTCAATTTCTGTTTATACTAGAATTATATTATTGTGCTGACCTGTTCTTACCTTTTACATTTTCACACGATCTTTTGAGACACGATCTTTTATATCGTGACTTAGAATTAAGTACTATTTAAGTCAATATTCAATCTTATGTAAACAAAGTAAAATAATTACTGCTAAAAAGACATCTTCAGCAGTCACACAAATGAAATGAAAAACTGAATCTTTTTCATTATATCATTTTTAAAGTAAATTGAGGCAACAAATTTTAAAATTTCTTCTAAAAGTTTATCCTGGTTTGTATGGTCCTCGAAAGATTTTTATAGACCAATCGACATACATGTCCATTTTTCTGTCAGAGGAAATTATAAGTATTGTATACTGTATAAGTATTGTATACTCTAAAATTGTACCGTAAATGAATTTTGTTATCTCGTCTTAAAAAGCTGATTAATTTATTGTTCCTCATTTCAAAATTAAGGCTCTCAATATTTAATTAAACACAATATAAAAACGAAACTTTTCTGGATCATAATTTAAACTTTATTTCATGTTATATCTCACAATTTCTGCTTAAGAAACGCGCAGTTATCAATAAATTTCTTATTCTGACGCTGTTTTATTTTTCCATTAACACAGATTTGTTCAGAAATTTGGATATTTTCTCAAAAATAATTTTAGTAGAACCCTTTGGAAGTTTTTTTTTCAACGAAGAATGTCAATGTTGGTAACAACCAAGAAAAATTTAATATTGTGGCAAATATTTAATGAGGTTGTTGGAAATTGAAAGGATTTAAATTTAGGAATTATTCTGAGCAGTTTAAGTTATTTATAGTTCCTTTATTCACAAATACGTTTTTGGTGTTAGGAATAAAAAAAAATAGCAATTAGAATAGATAAAAAGTTCAAATTCTATTTTTTGAATTTTTCCTGTTCATGAACACCCTGCTATTTAATCACTTTGTAGCAAATTTGAACATAAAAAGTTATTTATTTTTGTACTTTTTTATTTCTTAGGTTAATGCCGTGGGTGCAAGATTACGACAAAACAATGCTGAGCTTATGGTTAGTTGTGACAATTCTGTAATGAAAGTGCAGATGACTTTTAAATACCCTTTTAGTGGGATAGTTTTTGTCCCTGAGCATTATTACGATCCTACTTGCAGGTGAGCTTTTAAAGTTGCTAAAGGTTATTACCAAGTTATTGTTTAATTTTTACTTACTTTGTGTAAGTATTATCGCAGTTCGCTACTTTTAGCTTGTTGCAGCCAAGTCGCATTCATTTCTTGCGCTGTATCTTATAAACTAGTATATATTCAGTCACTAGCATACACCGAAGAGCCATCACATTATGACCATCCTCTATCTATAACAATGGACCATCCTAGGTTTTCATGGTTTCTCGCCCAGGAACAATGTTTTCATGGGGCACATTAGGACCCATAATCCTCATAGAACAATCCCAGACGTTTGTAAGCTACTTGAACATAGTTGCAGACCAGGTTCACCCATTCATGGCAACAGTTTTTCCTGCGGGGGATGGTGTTTACCAACAGGATAATGCACCATGTCATAAGGGTCGAATCGTCATGGATTGGTTCGAGGAACATTCCAGTGACTTTCAAGTCATGTCTTGGCCCCCAAATTCACCTGACCTTAATCCAATAGAGCATTTGTGGTCCTACTTGGAAAACCAAATTCGTGCTGCCACGCTACCCCCTCGCAATGTGAGGGAATTGCAGGACCAGTTGGTGAGCGCTTGGTACCAGATACCTCAGACTACCTATCAGCACCTTGTGGAATCAATGCCACGGCGGGTGCTAGCAGTTTTGAGGGCTAAAGGTGGTCGTACACGGTATTAGCAGGGTGGTCATAATGAAATGGCTCTTCGGTGTATATTCAGTTTTGCAACTTAGCAGATATACAAAATAAATTTTCTGCAACGACGAATTTGTTTTTGGACTAGATTTAAAAAGAAAATGTGTATTTAGATTTTATCTTCTTTATATTTATTAACTTATATTTTAATACAAAGAATTTTAAGATAAGTTTAAGAGTCTATTAAAATGTAAGAGCCAATCTAATGAGTTAAATTTTTTTCGGTTTCTATCAGTTTGTCCTTAACCCCTTTAGGACCAGCATAATGAGAAATAAGTGCTTACCTAGTCCAGCATACTTCGAGAGTGTACGTACTAGAAAGTACTTATTGTACTACTACAAGATGTAAAATAAGAGTTCCGTATTGAAATCACGCCAGAGTGATCTTGAACAGCTAGATTCAGATACTCGTTTTATATGTAATACCGTGGACTGTGGAGGACAAATCGCGTGATCGCTATGTGATCACGGTCTTGAAGCCCTTGAAACACAAAGGAGGCAAGTCTTTACTACTACTTTAACGTGTTTAATAGATAACATCTAAAATAAGTTTCGTTTATAAATATCGCGTAAAGTATACCGATAATCTAATTTTACCTAGGAAAGCTTTAAAGTACTTGAAGGAATGCTCTCAAGTTCAACTATGATTAGTCTTTACAGAATTGCAACAAAAAAGGTTTAAGTTTGTGTTCCAAAATTGCTGAAGAACCTTTAAATCCTTGCAAATAAGTTTAATAAGATAAGTAATAAGTTTTTAAAACTTATTACTCCACTGAAAAATTTACAAGTTACTGAAGCACAATCAAACAGAACATTCATTATCCCTATTCCAATTTCATTACGCATCATAGTTGAAAAAGTACTTCTGAGTCCTTCAGTACATTTATTTAAATAAATTATTTAAAAACTGCTCAAAGTTACGCTACTTCGAAGCTTCTGAAGGCATTATAAAATAAAACAATATAGCGTTAACAACTGGTTATAAAACTTCTTACTGCTGCAGAACAAAAAATACGTTTAGTCACAGGTTTATAAATTTGTATCTCTTCATCTTATATATATAAAATTATATACAAATGGCTAGGAGAAATCAGAATTTTTGCGTTTAAAGTTGGATGCTTATTGAGACGGCCTTAAACTTCAAATTATAAGTTCGCAATAAAATTTAAAATATAATATACGATAGATATATAATTAAGTAGGTATTTTATATTCAATATAAGCATTCTTTGCAAACTTGCAGTATTTTAATTGTGTAATTAGTGATTATTTGAGTATAAGTGTCCGTGCATCTGTAACCATTGATGAGCTAGCAGGTTTAGCATCAGCACAAGATTTTAATTTATGGTTCAAATATATTCACTCATTAAATCGAAGAGTGTCATCTAGTAAAGATTGTATTGTATAACTGTACTGAATTACCCTTTCGTTACATGTTGTACGAAAATTTTTTTTTTAATTGTCTACAACCAAAGAACTGATCTCGAGTTCTGTCACTTCTAAAACAATCTTAGATTCTTTTTTTAAAAATTTGCTTTCTGAATGTTTGATAAGTTGAATCATTGAAAATTATAGTTATTATTGATAAGTTGAATCATTGAAAGTTAATATAATGAACTAAAAAGTACTGTTATTTTTTAGTTATGGGCTTCATCCAAACTCAACTGCTTTGGAAATAACTCTTACTCTACTTCATGACTCATGTAAAATGCAGATATTAAATGTTTCCAATAAGCTCATTGGCTTTAATACTATAGCAGTTTTTCATCATCGTATGCTGGAGACGGTTTACGATTATATTCAAAATGTTACTTGTGAGCTTAAATGTCCCATCACGGATTTGAATAAGAATATCTGGAGTGAACCAGTATTAAATACGTGGATATCATTTGAAAATCCTCTCTCAGTTTTACCAGAAGACATTGTTGACACAATGGGCCTTGAAGATGCTCTTCTGCTGGTCTATCATGTAAAAGATCGAGGTCTGTATCGGGACATGGTGGTAATGAACTGTATTGGACACGATGATCGCACAGTTAATCAAAAGACAAATTTTTATCAAATATCTAGTCCTTTCGGATGTTCTTCAGAATTTGATTTAGTATCGAATTTTACTGCTTTTAGAAATCCACTTAGTAGTTCGAAGATGATTGCGTATGCTGTTGTAAAGAATTTTTCTATAGTTGCTAGAAGACGTCTTTATATTACTTGTGGAGCAGAAATTTGCAAAGACAAATGTGAAAGGAAATGTGGTGCAATTGATCACAAAAAAGGTTTTTATTTCAGTGATATAGTAACTAAAGGTTTGGTAAAGAGACCAGAAGGGTCTAAAAGACCAGCGTCTCTTACTGCGTTTGAGAGATTTGATAGGCAGAGGCGATCACACGAAGACGTAGATTTGTTTTTCAAGTATGCTGCAGATGAACAGAATGAATTCCTCTTGGAGAAAATAAGCGTGGTTTCACCGTATTCTGTAATTCAATCTGATGCTGCAACAATTCAAACGAACCAAAATGGCACGACGCAAGACTCTGAACAAAATGGTCGTTCAAAACGTGCAATTAGGCAATTTGAGACTGAACTAATATCTCCAGGAATGAATGTCATCGTGATCAAATCGGAACAAACTGTTGATTTGGAGCAGTCTACAGTTATGGTAGAGTCTGCATTGCCAAGAAACAATGAAAGTTATCAATCTGTATCCTCAGACTTGTCTGAACTTGATTCAATTGTGAAGATAAAAGTGCCATTTGAACCGAAGCGTTCAACTAGAATTGATGGGGAGCATGTGTCTGACCGATTTAGCTTCAGTTCCTTTTTAAGAGCATTGGTAGCAATTTTTGCTTTGATTTGTATCAGTGGTGTTTGCTATTTCCTGTTTTCTTTTAGAAGACATCCGGTTGTAGAAACTGTTTCAGACTATACGTCGCAAGCTTATTTTTAAAGAAATGTCAAAAATTTTAAGTTATTTTACATTTTTAATAAAGTTTTACAAGTTGCTTTTTTTTCAAGTTTTCTGAATAACCGTCTTAATAAGAATCTTACGGGGGTTAACAAAAAATGCCCCAAAATTTATATAGTTAGAATTTTCGGAAATTATTTCGATAAAATTGTGCCAATGAAATGAAAGATAGCAGGTAGATAAAAATTTAGTTATTAAAAAAGTAGCGCTATAAGGAATAGCTAGTTTTTATTGTTGAGAAATATTTTAAGCTAAGGATCAAAACTGGCACACAAATCATATGATTTAACACTTTAGAAACTTTAATTTTAAAGAAAAAATAACGTTTATACCAAACACTCCTTAAAGGTGGAAATTTAGTATTAAATAAATAAACCAGCATTTATGCAAAATGGAAATAGAGCAATGCACGGAGGTATTTTAAAAGATATTTGATAGCTATTTTATAAATCATACTAAATATATTAGTATACATGTATATGTAAACTGATATTGTACTGTGTGTTTTATGAATTGGAAATTGAAAATTCTTTAAGCTGGCTTTATAAGCCGTAAATTTCAGGCCACTTTGCAGAAGAAACAATAAAAGTTGTAGTTTAGTTACTAATTTAAAAACCATATAGAATTTAGAAACATTTAGTTCCCTGACTAAAATCTTTATTTTGTTTTGGAAACGCCGACACATGTTTAGTTCAGAAAAACCTACTAGAATATCAATAGAATTATTTCGATTAAGAGAATAAGACGAAACTTTAGCAAATATTGATTGGTCATATTGCTTGATTATTGTAGTCATAAACATGACATAGAGGTAAAAATGCGGCTTAATGAGCTATTAAACCTAGGTCAAAATATTGTATTTCCTGTTTTTATCCTTTTATGGATTAAGAATTTATTTTATGGATTAAGAATTTATCTATTTTAAAATTACAAATATTAAGATTGTGTGTAATTAAATTTTTAAGTACGAAGAATTGAACTTTTTACTTTTAATTTTTTAGCAAAATTAATTTCCCTTATTAGCTTTGGGTTTTTACTTTTAGGTACTATATTTTTATTTCATTTTACGTCGGAGCCATTCTGTCGTAAAACTGATTAAAAAAAAAAAATTAAAATAGCATAACAATGCATTGTTTAAAAAGCTCTAAAAAATTGATGGCCACATTTAGTATAGGACCTTACAAACCTTAAAAAATCTAATTGAAACTGAAATTCCTTAAATTGTAATTAAAAAGATGCTGTCGTAACAAATGAATAATAACTTTATAACTAAGGGTATTTCTAATAAAATCATATATTTTTTTAAAAAATAATGTGCTTTACTTTTTAGGAATTTAGAAATAATTTTTTCATGAAATTTAGCTGCTGCCACATTTAAAAAATTCGTACCTTCAACAGATTAACATCTGAAAAAATTAAATTCTCAGTACTTGTTTTAGACAGATATATCTGATGTAGTGTCATTTCATATATTGGTTACTCACCTAATAAAATCTCTAATTCGAGGTAAATTATCTTGTGGGGGTTTTGACGCCTATCTGACGAATTTTGAAAGCGTTAGAATTTATTTTACAACCGTCGTTGAACAGTCAACCCAATTTTTGGGGTTACGACTAATGTTCAACTCCATAGCCTTCTAATTTTAAACCCAATACAGAACTCCTGGATCAAGTATTAGGAGTAATTAACCTTCGTGGAAGAATTTTTAATGGAGTTTACCCGCATTTGCGTTGCATGGAGAGGAAAACCACCGGAATCTCCCACGGTTAACCTGACGGCAAGGAGATTCCAACCCATGATCCGTCTACCACTGAGGATATTTCACGTCAGCACTGTGGTCGGTGCAAGCCGGATGCGGAATTCGTATAGACCAGTCTTCGCTGGAATTCGAACCCGGTTCACGTCAATGGAGGGCGAACGCTCTGCCATCACGGCTCCTAGCTTTTGATAGATACTTTTAAAGCTATAATAAAAAAAATTAAACATTGGCTTGGAATCTTCCTCCAATTTTTGGGAATGTTTCAAAAATTCGCCAGAATACTCGTAAAAACCCATCCTAACAAGCGCATTACTTAGTTAAATGATATTCGGAGTTAAATTTTGGTAATTGTTAAATCAAAATTGGGTCAGCTGTTCAACGACGGTCGTAAACTAAAATTAGATGATATTAGAGTCATGGTGGCTCTGGGAAAAGAGCGCTCTCCCCCGAATGAGGGGACTTAGGTTCGTATCTCTGCAACTGCTTGTCGATATGAATTCTGCACCACTCTCACAACGATCACTAGAGCTGACGTAAAATATCCCCAGTGGTAGCCTTTCTGTCTGATTAATCGTGGGAGGTTTTCGTGGTTTTCCTCTCCATTTAAGTAAAATGCGGGTTAGTTGCAACAAAAAGCTTTCCACGAAAGCTAATTTCTTCCATTGCTTGATCCAGAAGTTCCCTAGACTTCTGGGTGGGGGCCAAAATTACAAGTCTACGGAGTTGAGCATTGTGAATTCAGAATAGGATTGGCTGTTCAACGCCGGTTATGAAATAAAATAAAATTATATTGTAGTTAAAAAATACTATAATTCCTTCCCACACTTAAAACTTGGGCTTGTTGCGAGACAGCGATAAGCCATCGTCAACAAAAAAGTAATGGTGGCAAAATAATTAAGTTAAAATGCGTATACTTTTGACACAACTCTTTATAATCAGTGTAAGCTAAAACCGGGAACTATCTCAAATTTGAAACAAAATTTTGTAAGTCTTTTTTACTTAATTTTTGTGTCTCGCAGTAACATCTTTATATTCAATTATTTTTATAAGGTATGAAAAATAAATAGAAATTGTACTACACTTTCTTAAAAAATGACAAATCAAGAACCGCAAAATTTAAAAAAAAAAAAAANAAAAAAAAAAAAAAAAAAAAAAAAAAAAAAAATACCTTTTTTCTTCTTCATTGGAGTGAAATATAATTTTAATGGAAGGTTTCACTTTTCTTTAAGACGTTGAATGCCATGGGGGTCACCGGTGACCAGCACTGAATTTGTTCGTAGCGCCACGGGGGTCACCGATGACCGGCGAAGCCAAGATTATTCGAAACGCATAATTCGAGTAAATTTTTAATGTTTTTAATTTCTTTAATATTATTATCGTTACTAAAATGGTTTGAAGAAATTAATGCAATATGGAACATGCAAAAATAGTTTTATTTATATACACAAAGATTTCAACTTGCTCCGGATAGCGAATGAAAATTTTCAAATGGTAGTTTATTAATTGTGATTCTTGGTTTAATAAATTCAATTTAGTAAATTTTTATCCACCACTATTTCTAAACAATTCGTAGGCTTATATAATTCACCACTTTTTTCAGATATATCATGCTGAACCTTTTTAAAAAAAACAGCAAAATCTGTTTAATATTTGCAAATTAAGTTGCCAGACGGGCAAGCCATATAAAATTAGCGTGGCATTCAACGCGTTAACTAATTATTGGCCGACGGCAAAAAGTCATTTGAATGTGAGATACACCTGAGAAAAAGTGATAGTAAATGGATATTTAATCTTTTTACTTACCACTTAAGTTTTATGTAAAACACTGGGTATCCACTACAGATTCAATTATAAATATTTATATTAATATAACATAATAGATCTGTCTTGTTCCTAAAAATTAGTACTTGAATAATAAAATTAGTACTGAAATTAGTACTTGAATAATAAAAATTAGTACATATTTACTTGTAAATCTTTTTTCCTTCATAGTTTTGAAAAAAAAACAACAAACCCCGTTCTTTTCGAAGAACGCTAGATACTGATATTTTAATTGTAGAATTGGAGCTAACATAATATTAAGATCTCTAAATAGTTGATATTTTTGATATTTTTAGCGAAGTATTTGTTTATAAAAATAGAACAAGAGTAATTGGCGTTTTGTAGTAGCTTCAAACACTGTTTAATTGATTCCACGCTTTGATTGTCATTTGACTAAAATATATTCAAAGTTTGAATTTCTGAGCCTTTTAAGAATATATCTTAATTATTATATCTAAGTGTTCACATTCATGTCAAAAAATGTGAATAAGTTTTAAAAAAATTATCTTCTCGCAAAAAAGAAAAAGTAAAGATAATTCAATGCGTAAATTTTTTTTTTAAATATTTTCGTTTGACATTTTGAGTATGAAATACCCATTCAGGGAATATTTTTTTAATAACTCTTCGCAATAAATAGCATAATATAACTAGAAAAATTCATTTTAAGTTTAGCAGTCCTGTTGTTTTTTACGATTTAACAGTACATTTCCTCTCTTTTGAAGTAATTTTAGAATAGATACCTATTAAGTTTTAAATTTTGCCGATGCTGATTAAATGTATAGTGCTGTCATCTAGTAGGTGAAATGAGAAGTGAAACAAAATGAAAACTAAATGATAAATTAGATAACATTGATTTTTGAAGGAGATTTGATAGTTAATAATTTTTATTTTCAAATGAAAAGTTAAAGCTATAAATCCTTAACAAAATAATTATGTAAGTCTAATTGAACAAAATTACATATTTATCATCGCAAATAACTCATTAAAATAGTGCTGCCATCTAAACTTTAAAAATGAAGTTATTTTCTTTTTATCTAAAGTAATATCAATAAACCAAATATTTTTAAATTCATATATTTTTAAATTTATATGTTTTTAAATCAAAATGCAAGGGATTACATGCCTTTGGATCCAAGATGAATAAAGGATCCACAAGATTATAAAGAGAAAAAACATTTCCCACTTAATAAGCCATTTTTGTAAAAGAATTCTAAAAACGTCACTTTTTTGTTTTTCCCATTCCATTTGCTTCATTCTCAAATTGTATGGCCCATTTATATTATGACAATTTTCCATTTAACATTTGTAACTTTATACTTGGGTCAGCATCGAATATGAAGGTACAATGTTTAAAATATTCAGGTGCAGGAAGTTTATATTTTTCTTATTTCACAATATAGAGTAAAAAAGTTTTAAATGCTATAATTAAATAAGATATATTTCGACGGAAATAAAATT